GTATTGGAAAATTCGTGTGGATAATTACTCTACCTAATGGGCTTTGGATAGGACTGTGAACGGCTGCTCTCATGGTGTCGTCAGTGTACGGCGTCGAGGCGGCATTTGGATATCAATTCAAACTCGAAAACCTTTTACATATAATAATTTTTCCCATCATAAACTTTTACAAGATTATTGGCATGAGAGGTTCTGTTTTGTCCAATAATACAGCTCGAACGATTTAATTGGATGAAATAAATCGGCACATCACTGGTCGGACTAACAGTAAGTGTCACTTTGGTGAAATCTTTTTAAAAACAGATTCTCTTTACTGAATATATGTATGTAACTGAGTGTTCGCCTGGATTTGTTACAAATCAGAGGTATTAATAGTACAGTGTACTAACGTTACTATACGGAAAGATATCGGCCATAACAAAATTGTTGAGGACGGAAATAAACCAGCCACAAGAGTGACCACCAAAATATATTACGAAGTAAATATAAAGCGAATAGCTTATAAATTTCAGCATAATAGAATAATCATATTGGTATTATTAAAATAGTCGTCCTCCATAATGAAACTCATATAGATTTGTCCTTTCATGAAAAACCTACACTCCTGTTGGTCTGCCGCCACTGAGCACAAGGACCATGTTGATCACTACTACGTACTGTAGTACCGTACTGTACTACGTAGTACACGGGTTGCATGACGCGATATCGCTAGTATGGAGTTCGTGTGATATGATGTCGTCAGTGGTTGCCAGCACCACTCCGGCGCCTCTTCTGTGCATGCCTCGGCCGATGCGCGTAGGGACAGAACACAAAAGTCTGACATCTTGTGTCCCAACCCGCATCGGCCACAGCGAGCACATTGGTCGAGGGCGTCCCAATCGGTGGTGGCTAAGCACGGTATTGTTGTGGACGCATGATAGCGGCAGTGATGACGTAGGTTTCGTTCAACCCGATTCCCCACGAGGAGTCGCTGAGGAATCCACCGACGACGCCTCTCCAAGGGAGATCGACTTGACCTCATTGGTTGATGTAGTTGTCGTACTGACGTCTTTTGCGGCTTTGATCACGTCCTATTTTATCAATGTCCTGATGGAGGATTTCTTTATATGTCCACAAGGCCACGGGTCTATGGACTCGCTGGGAAACGCGCAAGTTGATGATCAACATTCCAATCATTCGGATAACTGAACTGTATCCGTATTCTTTAATCTGGATTTGACAGTATTGATACTACCTCCGGACGGAGAATATACCCGACATTTGACAAAATTGGTGTTATTTCTGCAAATTTTCAAATGCGAAGAATCTGAAAATAGGTGCGCAAAGGGCTCACTATACAGGGGGCGACGGATTTTAAGGGACAATGAAGTTTTATACAGTATATTATAGCCAATAAGATTTGAATATGTAAAAAGCATTTTGTGATTGGCTAAATATCGAGATTTTCATCGAAGTTCGAAGTTATTCAACCAATCATTTCCGATGAAATGGCAAATTCGAAGTAGCAAGTGTGTCCCTTAAAATCCGTCGCCCCCTGTAATGCATCCAATTGTCCCGAATTTATAAAAAAATAGTAGCAATGAATCACGATACTCAAGTCAAGATAAATATACAGATAACGTTACAGCCAAACTTATCCGAAAACAGGAATGATGATCTCTTTTGAGCGAAGACCCGTGTTGGTCGCAAACAGAAGTATACAGACCTTCCCATCGTGCGATACCACCACAACGTCGGATGACTCTCCAGTACATCGCGCACGCAATCGGCATACCCGTGAGCACCCTTAAAGACTACTACAAACGCGGTCTCGTCGTAAAGTACAATTCCCACATTAAACCTAAGCTAACCGATGTCAACAAAGTGGGCCATGGACTTCGTTCGTCCCGACAGCAACTTTCAGTTCGCCGACATATATGAGTACGTCCACGTTGGTTCCACGCGACATAGGTCAAATCGCGAATGTACCTGCTCCCCGGCGAAATCCCACCCCACCGCTTAACCCAGCGCAAGCGTTGCATCACCAAAGTGATGTTCTTGTGGCATCAATGAAGAAGGAGTGTTGGTTTTTGCGTAAGAATCAAATGAATTTGAGCTTGAGTATGCAAAGCCAATAATTAAATAAAACTTGTTTGTTTATTTAATTATATAGCTTTGATTAGATTTATGGATATTGATTTATTAAATTTCTGGGGTCTTTAAATGTCAGGTCGATTTCCGTCGTTCAACGATTTTGAAATGTCAGTTGTATTTCCGTCCGGAGGTAGTAATTTGGTATAGCATCCTCCAGTTGAATCAGCTCATTATTTTCGAAATCAAGCCAATCAGACGCTTTGCTTTTGGCACTTTAAGCGGATTTTGAAAATTCTCAAATGTTCGAAATATACAATTTTCCCCTCATGGCCGGTTTATTTCTGTCTGGAGGTAGTATGTAGTACTAACGTTACTACCGGTAGTAGTAACTACTAGTAGTAGCTTACAGTTCACTTACCAGTGGTAGTACACTTTGTTCATTTCTCAAAATTTAAGTAAAATGAGACGTAGTTTCGACAGATCTCGTCGTGGTGAAGAGGTGTTACCCTCTCAGAATTGGCCAATTCATATATGTTGTAGGTGAAACCTAAGATATGACCACGTTAAACCTCAACTTTGTTGGCCAAGGTAGGACGGATACGATGTACGGATACAAGTTTCATACTACTGTACAGTAACATCAAGGTACCCTTCGTGGCCCCTATACAAAATTCCAGTTGGTGTTTAAAGTCGATTACTCGACAATTCTTCGCCAAATTTGATTGGAAGGTTTTAGTTGACATGCACCATGCTACCACCGATTGGAAATGATTGATTGGTAACCGGTTTCGTACAATTAATAATACTACGTACCAACGTACTGTACTGTACCAGTACTAGTAGTACGTTACACAGGTATTATCCCATAACGTTATTTCCTGTACATCTCCACCGAAACCGCTATATCTAGATTATACCAGGAGAAATCAGATATAAGTACTATATTCAAATACTACGTTGTAGAATTTATATGGAAGCAGAGTGAAAATTGAGCATCATTCCTGATCGGTTTTGACCAGGTATTTTAAGGACTCTAAGCATTCAAATCGGATTTCTAGGAAGTATGGTGCACTTCGTGTAGAAATTTCCAACATTTCACAAAACCGCCTCGCTGCTGTTTCATATTTATTTCTCAAAATTGAAGTAATATGAGATGTAGTTTCAACAGATCTCAGTCGTGGTGAAGAGATCTTACGTCTCAAAATCAAATTTGGCGAAGAATTGGTCGAGTAATCGACTTTAAACCAAGTGGTATTTTGTATAGGGCCAATACATGGTCAGTAGATTTTGGCACGAAGGTTACCTTGATGTTACAGTTAGTATGAAACTTATATCTGTACTTCGTATCCGTATGCAAATATACCTTGGCAGAAATAAAACGCATATAATTGAGGTTTAATGTGGTCAAATTCTAGGTTTAACCCATAATGCCAAAACGTTTTATAGTAAAACCTCCTACTAGTATAATATCAATATTAATACATTACTGCATACTACTGTAGTAATACTAGTTGACGTGCACGATACTCTACTTGAAAGTAAACACATTGTCAAGGGAATAACCTATTTTGACTGAAAACACTTGTTCAAGCTCAACAAAGTGAAGGCTCATGCATTTCCAATCGGAGGTACTAGTACAGTAACGTTACTACTTGTAGTGTGTACTACAATGTTGTACTAGTACTTCGAAGTAGCAGTAAACCGTAACTGTGTATGGTCGAATGACTTCGCGAACCCAGCAAAGCCATGATAAGTACTTCGAAGGGAGTTCTATGTACAAACAGTATTTGTGTGGACTGCGTTGTTTCATCATGGAGCAAGCCACCTCCTTTGTAAATTAATAGTGAACGATGGCAATCCAAGAATAACAACTCAGCTGCATTTTCGGGTCTTTTTGTACAGTCGACTTCGGGATGGAATCTTACACTTATCGTTGCCAGACCTTCATTCTGTTCAAGTTGAAGTGAAGAAGGCCGCCTTCTCGTGGGTTGATGGTACTGAGGACGGGAGGGAAGTTGCCACGACGAATACAAGGAACTGTACCGCACTCCAATGCCTTGGAGCTCACCACAACTCCACCAATATAGGAAGCCTACACCGTTGAAAGCTACTTCGAAGTATAGCTTAGTTACCCTAGTTGGCTGACTTACAGTGCCAGCCAACAAGAATACAGTTATGCGAAACACCTGATTCATGTCTACTGTACCCTCCTCGTGGAACACGGAGTACTTCAACATAATCGCCTCAAGAAAAATCTATGACGCGGGCACCACGAGCCAGTCACATAGCGATACCTTGCACATTCATCACACCAACAGTCTATTAACTTGACCGTAATAAGTCATCCAACGTAGCGCAGTGGTGGCCACAATCGACACACATGCATTGAAGGGCTTACAGAGTGCCACGTCACCAAACCATGGTTATTCCGCGTCGCATCGAAACCAGCCTAGATACACACATTTTTGTCAGGGTAAGTGTCGAGTAGAACGTGTGACCAAGTAAGAGTTCATAACGCTCTCCTCGCCAACACAAGTTCCTACTAACAAGTGGAAGTACTTCGAAGTACTGTAGTACATACATACAGTATTGCAGCTCGAAGGTGTAACGATGGTACAGTGTACAGTACGTACGTAGCAGCAACTGATGCACTGGTTGGTGGCCGTAGTCCAGCACGTACAGTAAGTAGCAGCAACAACAACATCATCTCTCCACAGCAAAGTCACATTGTCATGACATCATAAAGGAACGTAAACTATTCACAGACGTTCCCATCGGTCCTTGATAGAATCATGGCGCACACAGGGGCGGTATAGCGACGAAGGACGTAACGGCAATGTTACGGCTGCCGCACCTATTGAGTACCATCTGGTTTGACGTTCAACGAATGTTGAGGTGTCGAAAAGTTGAAGATGCCGAGGGGCGACGTCCTTCTTCCGACGGCGTCTTTCCCAGTCGGGGTTCATATAATATAGTACACGGACCACCTCATTTCTCAATTCCGACTCTCGAGTACACGTCGCAGTATTGGAAACCATGGGCTGCACTCAATCGACCACTTCAGCCGAGCCTCAACAGCCTGAAGCCCCGACGGCGTCTGGTGCGACCGACCAACCCGCCGCCGCTGCTGTCGTCGCTGCACCTACTACTACTACTACTACCGGTACCGTTGCCGAAACCGAAGCTACGGTGCCGTTGACGTCAGACGCGACGCCCGAGGTCCCTGTTGTTGATGGCCAAGACGTCACTATTGTCGGCCACTCGATCGACGCTAAAGGCGTGGTGCTGTACCACATTCAAACGCCTGCCACGGACGGCAGCGACCAGCCCGTGATCGTCAAGAAGCGATTCAACGAGTTCAAGCAATTCCACCGTCAAGTGACTGCATCGTCGACAGACGCGCCAGTTCTGCCAGCGCTGCCCAGCGCCGGCCTCTTCACGACCTTCCAGCGCACTCAAGACACGCTCATTAAAACCCGTAGCGCGCGGCTCCAACAGATCCTGCAGGCTGCTTCCCGCGACCAGGTCGTGGCGTTCGTTGCTGAACAGCCTAAGACTCCAGAAGTAGCAGTGGACGAGGCGCCTGTAGTGGTGGCTGAAGTAGAAACAACCAGCGCCACCGCCCCACTGGACCAAAAACCGGTTGAAAGCGCTCCTACTGACACCGCCCCGGCTACGGCTGAAGTGCTGCAGCCGGCTGCTGCTGCTGTAGCCGAGTCTACCGCAGAGGTTGCTGTTCAACCGGCGGCTGTTGCCGAAGTACCCGTGAAGACGGACGCAATTCCCAAGTCCGAGCCAGTTCAAGTGGTGGAGGTGGCTACCGCCGTCGCTAGCTCCAAGCAACAAGATGCACCGCCCGCTAACGTGGACGTTGTTGTCCCAGTTGTCCGAGCCGACGAGAAGGCGGCGACAGCCGTGGCGTAAAGCTAACGTTACTGTAGATACTGTAGCTGCATAATAATATATTCCACCGTTTCGTTTCTTTGTCCTCAGCGTTGGACACAGTGCCCTTCGCATATTTTGGAATTCTCAACAATTACTGCAACGTTAGTATGACACAAACTTTCAAACATGAAATTTTATAGAGTAAGTGAAATCTCGAACATTTTTAGACAGATTTCGGAAGCACTGCCGTAGACTTCCCACGCACGGAAATTTTAATGCACGGGAAATATATGGCAGACCCAACTCATGATTTCGTCAAAACTTCTTTGCATTTACCACATCCGCATGAGGAACGATATCCGTATGCTTGCATGTGTGGTGGCGAATCCACACCGCACATAGTTCCCTGTTGTTGCATTGCATAAGCTTACTCATGTGGACCCATTACCACAACTGGCATCACGAAGGGGTCTTGGCACACACCTCATGGGTCCACAACTTTACTATCACTATGATCCCAGTTTTTGCGTGCCACGTTGAGCAAGGGAGTGGCTTTACGACACCTTACGAAACCGCTAGGTGATTTTAGTTCATGATTAGAGGGGCGCAACTGAG